TGCACCACACAGCACAGGGTAATGTTTATAAGCGATATGAGGTTCGACATGCAAATCCTTAAGGGTATTTTAGAAATCGTTGTGTTGAGGACAGAGGGATTTCAGTTGTACGCCGAGACTGAGCTCGGATAGGCCCTGACTATTTAATGGGTAAAGCTCCGACTATTGGTTCGCGCCTGATCTCACGGCGAGAAAACGACATATCGCCTTAAGAAGTCACAGATGCACACCGAACCGCGGTTGATTAGGAAGGGCATCCAATCAGGTGATCGTGGTGCAGAGGCAGCGCGATCAGCGGAAGAGCTACGACGCCAAAGACAATGGTTGCAGAAATGCAAGCAGAGGATCCACTGGTAAAAGAGATGGTGAACTCTTCAATCACCCGAAGGAAGGCAACGGGAAACCACCTTCGTACACTCCCCTGTACAACCATGAAATTAAACATGGTCGCCAACGTCAGGCTCTGATACGGCACAGAAAGAAGAAGAAAGCTAATGAACACTTCTCTTGATATCAAATACAACCCCTTCCCCCCAAAAAAATCGCAAATGATGGGAAACTCAAAGAATGTGTACATCTAGCCACCAAATAGCAATTGTATTTAACTCGGTAAAGCGGCTATAAATCGATATAATTTTTAGCGCGTCTAATAACAATGTGCATTTATTCAGCGTAGAAAAAAATCAAAAACACAACTTAAAACTAGGCATATATATATATATATATATATATATATATATATATATATATATATATATATATATATATACATATATACATACATGTGTGTGTGTGTGTATGTGTGTGTGTGTGTGTGTGCGTGTGTGTGTGTATTTATATATTTTTATTTATTTGTTTATTTCTTTATTCATATTTATATATCTATGCATATCTATCTATCTATATGTATCAATATGTATATACATATATATACATATATATATTATATATTGTGTTTATATATATATATATATATATATATATATATATATATGTAAATACATTTTCGAATTAAATAACTTTTTTCTCCTTTTTGGGGGGGGAGGGTTAGGGAAGGGACAATATACATTTTCAAAAATGAAATTTATTGTAACAAATGTAGAAATGGTTCATGGTTAAAGTGCCACTAAATGCGGTAGACTTCAAAGGTCACACAGCACTATAGAAAAGTATAGAAGTGAAAAGGGTAAAGAGGGATAATGAGTCCACGATGAGCTGTGCTACACGTCAACAGTCGCACAGCATTTTAGGATAGTTTGGCATTGAAGAGGGAGTGGGAGGAAAGGGTGTTCAGGAGGAGAGAGGATTGAGAGACAGAGGGATAGGCATGTTTTGGGTCATGATTAAATGTTTTTGAATGGAGGGACCGGGGAAGTGGTAGAGATTGGAGTCTTTGGATTTAGAATGGCAATAGAATTTGACTGGACAGGTAGGAAATGGAAACGGAATAAGTAGAAGGGAGAGATAGTGGGGAAGATGTAGAATGGTCAATAGTTAAAACATATAAATGTGCTAGACATTAAAGGTCATATAGCACCATGCTAAAGCACTGTGGGTCATACGTTTTTTCTAGTTGATTTCGTTGAGGTTTACATGTTTCAACCGAGATCACAGCCATTACGCGCGCATTTCAAATTTCAAAGTTCCTCACATTTCTAACAGGACGTTTCGTCCCCTGTAACACCCTTTTTAGGGGGCTGCTGCCCCCTTACCCCCGCCTGGGATAACAAATCTTCACCTCGTATTCACTGCAAGAGAAAGCCAAACTAAAAGCAAAAGAAATCCTCGGCACCACGAACGTAACATGACCATGACCATTACCCGTCAAGTATCACGAATGAGATGGTTCCGTTATTATTAGTTTGATGAGATACAGAGAAAAAATGTTTTAGATTGATGTGTTTTACCGATGTTCGTTGTCAAATATCAGTTAAACGCACCCTTACTAATACTGACATTTGGCTATTTGTGCCGAAAAGGGTAAAACAGTTAACGATTAGATTAGGTGGACAGAAAGGGATGAAATAGAGAAGGAAAAGGAAAGGGAGAGAAAAGATTATGCCAAATTGGTTAAGGCATGGGCTGAGGTCCAAGGTAGAAGTGATCCCCTACACTAGAGCGAGTGTGCTCAAAACGCCAACAATTCTGACATTAACGAGGAAGGGGTGATTAGTTGTCAAAGCTGGGCAAAGAATTGGTAAGTGAATGGGTTAAGGTCGGGTGAGGTAATGTAAAGGGGTTAGATTAAGTGAGGGATATTTATGCGTTTGAGAGGAAAACAGGTTGTCGAAGCAGAATAGGTTGTGAGGTCGGTGAAGGGAGAGATACAGGCTGCTTCAAAACGTGTGCATGATAAAAGAGGAACATTACATAAGGAGCATAGGGGTGGATCGGATTGTGACATCAGATAGGGGTGTGTTAGACGGGTGTGGAAGGGGATGCTTGTGATATAAGGGATTCACGTGTGTATCCAGGAGAGAGTGGAAGGGATAGAGGGGATGGTTAATGGTTAATGTGGGTGGGGTTGGAGTCTGGGGGATGGGCTGTGTTTGGAGGGGGTAGGAGGATAGGGTGTAGGGGGGGATATCGTTAGGAGGAGGATGGATATCGGCAGTCACTTGGAGTGTGGAGGGAGTAGGAGTTGTAGGATTTGAAGGTTGATGAGTGTCAGTTTTCATTAAGTAGTCTTGAATATTTTCAATAGTTTCTTCCATGAAGTTGGTTGGGGAGTTTTGGGAGATAACGGATTTCTTATGAGGGGGGGAAGAGAGAACTGGTGTCTCAAGAGTAGGGGCAAAGGAAGGTGGAGGTGATTGTGTGGTAGGGGAAGAGGGGGTGGAACGTTTGTTCTGTCTGTTACGGGTAGGGCGAGGAGGGAGAGGGGAAGGTGTTGGGGTTGTAGTGGAGATTGGAGTGTCTGTAGTAGAGATTGGAGTGTCTGGATTTAGGATGGGAAGGTAGGAGGTAGAAGAGGGGGAGTTAGATGGAGGGGGGTGAGTTTAGGAGAAGTGGTAGAATGAGCAATATTACTGGAGTATGGAGTAAGAGAGAAACCACGTCGACGTGCTTCGTCTGGCTTCACGTAGTGTGAGTCCAAGTTTGAATCTGAGAGTTGCTACCTCAGACTCAAATTTGTAGGTGGGACAGCCCCTATAAAATACATTATGGGGGCCGCCACAGTTGGCACATTTGCATGATTGTGCAGAGCAGTTTGATTGAGTATGGTCAGGTTGGGCACATATTGGGCATCTGGCTGTGGAACGGCAATGTTTAGCTGGGTGTCCTAGACGCCAACAATTTTGGCATTGGCGTGGAGGAGGTTGGTATGGGCGGACAGGGAGGGATTCTCCACCTATGTAAACGTTAAAGGGAAAGTCAAGTCTACGGAAGGTAATTTTGGCTATGTTAGTGGGTTTCTTTCGATTACCTCTGGGGGGAATGGAGTAGCATTGTACTGATGTCGCATCATATAGTCTGTGAGACAAGCGAGTATGTCTTCTCCAGAATCTGACCAACCTTTGTCATAGATTGGGCAATTTGCTGGGAAGATTGAGACAGTTCCGGTGCAAGTATTGAGGGTTGAATGAGGTTCTGCAAGAATGGGGTTCCCATATAGATCAGTTAGTTTTGTTAATGCTATAGCTTTGGGATTCAGAGGTTACTGTGACGAGACGGGAGCCGTCGGGTCGGCTACGGAAAGAGACTTTGCCTACTTGTTTTTGGAGACATTGTTGGAAGAGAAGGGTGTCGTCAGAGTAGGGAGTTGTGGGAGGGGTCACGAAAAATCGGTCCCATTTGGCTGCGCTAAATAGAGTATTTAAGATTGTTGTAGAGATAGGGGTAGTAGAAGGGCGGGGGCGTGACGAAGAGGGAGTAGCGTTGAGGGAGGTAGTGTTATGGAGAGGTGGGCAATAAGGCTGTAAGGTATTAGTAAGGGAGGATGGGGTAGTTGATGTTGAAGTTGAGCATGTTGGGAGAGTGGAAATGTCTCTCGGTGGTTGATTGTTGACAACTGTATTAGTAGGCATTGATGAGGGGGTAGCTGTTGCAGTATTCGGAGCCGTGGTCAAATGAGAGCCTGGGGTCAGGGAATCGGGAGGGTTTGCATCGTTGGGGCTATTTGATAAAGGGGCTAGCCTCATTGCCCCTAATAGAGGAGTTACGTCTTCATGATTGGCCATGGTAAGCCTGGATTATGTTGGGGATAAAAACAGTCCACCCCTCAGGGTCCCCTTGAGGGATAAGGGCTGGGTAAATCAGGGGAATACCGTGCCCATGGCTCCCTCAGGCCGTTCAGGACTGGCACAAAGTCAGCCTTTCATCTTTTCAGCACGGCTCTCACACCTTAGGAGGTGGATAGTAGAAGGGATTGGTGAAGGGACAGAAACGAAAAAGTAGGAAGGGAAAAAAGACCATGCAAAATAAGTTGAGTAGAGGGCTGAGTCCCAAGGTTGGGGAGTTCCCCATCATTGGGTCCCAGTCTCCGCCTCCTAAGCCCCCCCCACGACAACAACGGACAAGGGATTGGGGGGGGAGGTCCCCTTGAGGGGTAAAGGGTAAGTATCTAAAGGGAATGCCTGTGGCTCCTTAAGGTCATTCACTACTGACCTAAAACGAGCCTTTATCCTTTAAAAACTGCTCTCACATCTTAGGAAGTGGAGAGATGAGGTTGGAGAAGAGAAGAAAAAGGAAAGTGGGAGAAGAAAAGACTATGCAAAATTGATTTAGGTGAGGGTAGGGTAGAACCGTCTGCTACACCCCTCTACGAGGGTATGTAATTGGTGGGGATGTAAAAATGAATAACTTTACAAAGCCAGAGATGTAATGTTATGTTTTGATTAAATATAACATTTGGAAATGCATTGACTATAGCTTATTTTGTAGAGCAAGCCATTCACATTTTTTCCTTTCCCATGTAAAATATATTGAGAAAAAAATATTATCTGCAACAGCTTGTTCCTTAACTTTTATAGGATAAATTGCATACGAATGTGTACATGTAAACTGGTTTATTTACAAAACTTTGAAAAAAAATATTTCAATCTTCTATCCTAAGTACAGTCAGTAGAAGAGTAAGTCATCTCAAGAGGCACACAAACTTATTACATTGACAGTAAATAATGAAAAAATGTGATGTAGTGATTAATGGAGTTTATATGACAATTAAACTAGGCGCAAAATATATACAAAAGGCTGTAAGTTAGCCGGATGATAGGGATAATTTTTAGACTAATAAATGAATCTGCAGTAGAATGAGTAACCTTAGTTATATGACGGCAGTGCATTGTAGCAATGTGGTATGTGGGTCCAGCTGCTAACAGGCAACTTTGTATGTTTAAAGCTATTTCATCTATAATGCCAAGTCAGGAGCTTGGCAGTAATCTCTGAAATAATATTTCTACATTCATAATATTTTCAAGCACATAGGATGGTCAATTTGCCCATAGCAATATATATATTTACTAATATATATTGATACATATTTATGTATACGTAAAAATAAACCCACATTATATATCTTACACAGTAAAATACTTAAAACCTAGATATCCTTTGCAAATTAAGGCAACATCAAAGCTAATAATATGTTTTCTAACAATTATATTGTTATTTCTAGGCTCATTAAAGTAGATTCCTAAGAAGTACAGTTTGTACTTCATCTTATATATATATATATAAAAAAAACATGGTTTCCATTACTAATTATGTTAATGCGTAAAAAGACAATAGACAGTTAACATTAATGCACAAAAAGAAAATCCCAAAGAAAATAATCAAATAAACTATGACAGGTAGAATCCCTTAGAGAATGAGGTCCCAAGCATAGTCCTACGCCTCAGGTTTAATAAGAGACAGCCTGGCTAGCAGCGTAATTATTGCCCGCATAGGCTCCTCAAACTCCCTCGGCTGGCTGGTCTTGAGAGCCCACTCGGGGGTGATCGCTGGAAGCTGGGATGCAGGGAGTGGACTTCGCTTGGCTGGACGCTGGCCACGTAGGCTTGCATTCTCGCGCCGGATCATCAAGTTTTTCAGGCTGGTTAATTCGTCCTTGACTTTGGATGTGCCCATTTCCTGAAGAACATATATTTTCTTTGTGAAAAACTACATTTGAGTAAGAGATAAAATACTTTCAATTAACACTATTTCAATTACACATTAATGCTAAATTATTATATGATCCTTAGCTTATATTATGTTTGCCATAGTCCTTACTTTCTGGGGTGGGTTTGTTGTTGTCAAGATGTAGAGCAGAGTACAACACTTGGTAAAAATAGCAGGGCCTTTCTCGTAGTATATGGTCATAAGCTGAATCAGCGATTCAACTAGGCCCTCCAACTAGAAAAAAAGAGAAAGTTGTTTCCTGTTATCTGGTCGCTGACAGAATACCAAAAGCCATTCAGTAATTAAGCTTACAAATACACATACATCAGGTATTAGTTCTGTGCAAGATAAGATGACATGAATAAAATGGTGATTTAAAGCTAAATGAGTAATTTAAACCATCAGTTCTAAAAGCAACTACTTACCCTGTGCAGTGATGGTGCAGTGTATGGGTACCTTGCCAGGTTAATAAGGATATTCAAAACATAACTCTGGATCTGCATGTGAGGGATAGACCTGTTGCAAGCCCTCAGTAAAAACATGATTGTGTCAAGGGCTACTCCCTCAGACAGCTTCTCACAGCAAGGTGGAGACCAGCGTGTACTTGTGTCTGAAATACGCATTAAATTAGTTCCCCAGTCTCTCTCTTCATTAAAGATACTTAAAGGAAACATTTTCTTTAAAAATGTATATAAAAAACATATAAATAATAATAATAATAATAATAATAATAATAAATAAATTCTAATTGATATTCAGGCAACAAAATCCTTTTACAGCTGACTTACCTAAGTACATGACAGCTATCAAAATCCTCTTAAGGTCTTTGTACTTTATCAGGTAGGATATGGCACAAACAGTCCTATTGCCAATGCGCTTGGCGTCTGTGGCCTCCCGTGTAGCCGCTTCCAACCTCTGGCGGACATCGTTCAACTTCTTGTTTTTCAAAGTACGTCGGGCAACGCGTCCTCGCCAAGCTGCTTGTAAAACTGTTGCAGCCTTTATACGACGCTCCTAAAAAAATATTACCATTAACATTCTATTCTTCTTTAAAAACATAAATATATATATTTATCTGGTTTTCAGGAGTCCCTTGTATATACATAAAATACATGTACATATACAGATACTTATATAGTACCTATATCTCTTTTTACCTATCCATCTGTAACACAACAAAATCAAGCAAATACAGCATCATATGTCCCTGAGAACACCAAAAGTACAACTCTTTTAAAAAGACAACAAAGCACCTTCTTGATCTTCTCTAATTTCCTACGCCAGGCTCTCTGGATGACAACCGCCCCCTCGCGTTGCCTCAGGTAGCGCCTCCTCTGTAATACTGCTCGCACCCATTGCTGCAGCTTTACCACTGATTCTATGGTCTGCTTAGCACGCACCATGGCTTGATGACGACGGAAAGATCGCTGTTTTGTTGTTAGAAAAGCACTTGTGTTATTATTGTAAGATAGACATTTTTATGTTAAGATTAAATCCCGTATTATTATTTTTTTATTAATCCATTCGCCCCATATGGCAAGAATACATGTCATGCCCACTGTAATACATGTTTATTTACTGTATTTACACATAGATGGCTCTACAAGCTCTTAATCAAAATCAGGATCTGTAACTAAGGCCTACTGATAGACTCCTTGCCGGCTGAGCACACTTGGAGCCATCTGTATGTAACAAAATTCACCAAAAACTACAGGAGGCAGAACATAAATCCGGGGCGAATGGGTTAAGAAGCAAATCTTCCACTGTTTAGTGTCAGTAATTAGTACATAATACAAGACCCAATAACATTATATGGATTATTCGTTGTTTTTTTGCCCCTAGCTACAATTCACTCAAATAGGACCTCCAAAACTGAAATCAATGCCAATTACATTATGCATTGGACTTTGTTGTGCCATGAATACAAAGCAGAACAGGGTTAGTTAGTTACCAAGATTAGCCATCTAGAAAGCCCAAGTTTTTTCTATAACACACATTCTATGCAAAGTTTTAGAATGACAAAGTTAATAAGCATTATCTTGCACTCAAACCCTTTCACTCTTCAAGACTTTACAAGAAGAAAATTTTTACCTGGATGGTAATAGCAGCCATGTGAACTTTTGTCACCTTAGTCACACGTGTCAGGTGAATTCTTCGTCTTTCTTCCTTCACATAACGGCGAGCAAACCATCCACGAACGTAAGCCTAAGGAAATGCACATTAAATACTGGAGTCTTTGGCAGCAAATGATCTTACCAGATTGTGAAGAAATGCAAGAGATTATCAACTGTAATGCCTAATCTCTGTTTAGTTCCCAATACAAAAAAGCATGATATCATCTACCTAATTTCTGTTTATATAAAAAAAAAAAAAAAAAAAAAAAAAAAAAAAAAAAAAAAAAGAAAAGAAAAAAAAAAAAAAAAAAAAAAAATATATATATATATATATATATATATATATACACACACACACACATACACACACACACACACATATATATGTATATACACACACACACAAACACACATGTATATACATGTATGTATATATGAATATGTGTGTGTATGTATATGTGTATGTATATGTATATGTATATGCATATGTATATGTGTATATGTGTATGTGTATACATATATATGTATACATATATATGTATACATATATATGTATACACATATATACACATATATATACATATATATGTATACATATATATGTACACACACACACACACACACACACACACACACACACACACACACACACACACACACACACACACACACACACACACACACACACACACACATATATATATATTAAGAATCATATAACAGTGAAATACATACCTGCAAAATACAAGCAGCCTTGGACCGTTTAAGCACCTGGCGGGCTTGTCTTCCTCTCCACGCTGCTTGAATAATGACAGCCGCACGTTTCATATAGATGTATCGTTCCTGTGCTCGCAACGTCTGGTATGCACCTCTCCAATACCTCTGCAGCTTGACAACAGCTTCCATCTTGCGTCGATAGTCTCTCTGGACACACCAACGGCGGAAGCAAGCCTGAATTCTTAAGGCTGCATTATTCTGCTTCTTCAGTTCTTGGGAGACTTGCATCCTTCTGGCATATGACTGAATGACAATAGCTGCATTTCTCATTCTTATGTATCTTAGGCGCTCTTCTCTGCTTAGTTTTGTAGCTCTCCACCAACGCTGGATAGTAACCACTTTCTTGACCTGCCTTGCATATTCTCTACGCACCAGCCAACCCCGCAAGTAGGACTGGAGCTTCACGACTGCCTCCCGGCGCTGCTTCATCTCACGCCTCACACTCATGCCTCTGAAATACGCCTGTAAGGTCACAGTGGCTTCTCTGGTCATCTGGTATCTCTGCTGTTCTTCCTTCGTTTCCTTAATGCTCCTCCACCATTTCTGTATCAAGACTGAACTTTGAACAATTTTCGTGTATCTCTTACGAACTAACCATTGCCTGACATACGTCTGGATCTTCACACATGCTTCACGCTTCCGAATATATCTCCTACGTACCACCAGTCCACGGAAGCACTTCTGGAGTGTAATTGTGGCATTTCTCTTAGCTTGGTATTCCTGTTCTTCCACTTTCACTTTCCTTAAACCCCTCCACCACCTCTGTATAGTTACAGCGCTTTGAACAGTGTTGAGGAACTTTCTCCGTAACAACCAGCCTCGTACACCTGCCTGAATCTTAGTTGAAGCTTTATGCTTTTGGGAGATTGCCCTGCGCACCAACATGCCACGAGCAATAGCTTGAATTCTGATCACTGAATTTCTTACTAGACAATACCTCTCTCTCTCTTCTCTAGCCAGCCTTACTCCCTTCCACCATCTCTGCAATATAATTGCAGCCTGGACCTTCCGGAAATGCTCTTGACGGACACGCCAGCCTCTAAAGTAGGCTGCGATTCTGACCTGTGCCTTCCTTTGCACTTCAATGGCTCTTCTTACTTTCATCCCTCTAAATGCTGCTTGCAGTATCAGAGTTGCCCTTCGAATTCTCATGTATTCCCCATGTACTCTCTGTTTCTCTCTCTGCAACAACCACCATCTTTGGATCTTTATAACATTCTGCCTTTCTTTCAGATATTTCTGTCTCTGGACATAACCTCGGTACTGAGCCTGCAAGATTGTGGCAGCCTTATTTTCCCTTTCATCCTTCTTCCTCCTTAAAAATCTTCGCACTTCTGACTGGATAACAAAGGCAGCTTCCTTCTTTCTTATATACTCTTTGCGTACTGTTAAACTCAGATGAATGTTGCGCCACCACCTTTGTATCTGTACTGTGCAATTTTGTATCTTCTGATATCTCCTGTATTCTAGGAACTTACGAACATGAGACTGAATGACAGTTGCTGCAACATGTTGTTCACCAAGCTTCTTTCTCACAAGTCTCCCTCTCCAGATGGCCTGAATTCTAACAAATGCTCCTCGCACAGTATGATAGTGTTCACGCTCCTCTTTCATCAATAGCGTTGCCCGCCAGTGAACTTGTACAGTTATAATTGCTTCCACATATTTCACATACTGTCGACGTACCAGCCATGTCCGGGTTCTCGCTTGAATCTTCGTGGCAGCTTCATGTTTTCTGATTAGGTCTTTCCTTACTAAAAATCCACGCACAGCAGACTGAATGGTTATTATAGCAGAGCGTTTTGTCTTGTACAGCCGTTGAATCTCCTGTGTCAGTATATACCTACGATAACATCTTTGAATGAAGGTGGCAGCTTCCACTTGTTGCAGGTACTGCTTCCTTTCAAGATGTCTTCGAATGTATGCCTGTAGAACAGTGGCAGCAGCTTGTTGTTTCTTCAAATCTTGTCTCACAAGGAATCCTCTCACAAGAGCCTGTGATTTAACAAGACATTTCTTATCATATAGGTATTCTTGTCTTACCCTTTTGCCAACAAAGTATGCACGGTAATGCTCCTGAATTGTAATTACTGCATGTCTCTGATGCACATACAGCTTCCTCTGCTGACATCCACGGAACCATGACTGAATACGTACAGCTGCATTTGCCTGTTCTCTTAACAATTTTCTAACCAGGTAACCTCTGACACTAGCCTGAAGTATACAGACAGCTGACTTGGTTTTCTTATACTCTGCCACAGCCAATTTGGTCAAGCAATGACTTCTATAGGCCTTTTGGAGAATAACTGCAGCAGCCTTTTGTTTTGCAAATTTCTTTTGTTGGATGTGCATCCTCCAGAAGCCCTGAATGACCAAAGCAGCATCTGACCTTCTCTTCATTTCCTTCCTTACAAGATAACCTCTTGCCAGAGCTTGTATGGACACAATGCTCTCTCGCATCTCCAGGAAATGGTGCCGTACACTGTCCCCTAACATTTTGTTTCTATAATACCGCTGAAGGGTCAAAACCGCAGCCTTCTTCCTCTTGTATGATAGGTATTCCTTCCTTCCCCTGAACCTTGCTTGCAAGATGGTTGCTGCCCTCTGTCTCTCTTTGAGGTGCTTCCTGACCAAATAACCTTTAGTGGCAGCTTGCAGGACAATTACTGAGTTTCTTGTTATTTTGTACTCATCTTGAATCTGCTTGCCTAGCCTATATGCACGATAGTACCGCTGAATTGTGAGTGATGCCCTCTTCTGGGCCAGGTACGCTTTGTGGGCTAGCTGGCAGCGGAACCAAGTTTGTATTCTGATACAGGCAGCACGTTCCAGATTGTAATCTCGGTGTTGGAGCCATCCTCGGACCTGGAAAAAATGTAAAAGGTGATGTGCATAAAATTACTTTAATTATCATTGTAACTACTATTTAATTACATATAAATGTGAAGACTTCAGCAAGATAGATAAATATCCAAGACTCGATGCTTTTTAGGGGTTAGTAAGTTATATCCTTTATTTGTTTCACAGTATAATAGTCCTCACATATTCCACTGCAAACTTAAAATGCACACACTATTTGTTAATATATATTTATTTCATTGCCAAACATACCTGATATAGGCTATTGTTAAAACAAAATCTACCATAAACTGCAAGAATAAATAATCATTGAGAGTACCCTATCCAAGTGTATTAACATGATTACACAACAATAAAAATGTGCAGTGTTATTTTTTTTATATGAACAGTGATAAAATGTAATACCTAAAAAAGTTCATTTTCATCACAGCTACAAAAAATGAATACATACACACACTGAAACATACACACCTACAGTATACATGCACTGTACTCTTTGATACATACCGTCGCCTGGATAAGTACTGCTGCTTTTTTCTTGGCTGCAAACATCTCTTGGTCTGCTCGCATGGCCATATATGCTCGAGTGTATTTCTGAAGAACCAAAACAGCAGATCTTTGTTGTTGATACTGTGTCTGTTGCTTGTACATTCTGTATTTTGACTGTATTTTAATGGTGGCAGTCCTCAGGGTATGGAACTCTCTCTGTGCCTTTCTGCCCAAAACAATGGCTCGGTACTGCTGCTGAATAAGCAAGGCAGCTCTCTGTTTCGTGGCATACTGCCTCTTGGCTTTTAGCATTCTTATCCAAGCCTGAATGGCAATACAGGCTTTCTTTCTCCTCTGATACTCATTGTAAGCTTCACAACCAACATTCCAGGCTCTGTAGTGCTGTTGTATTGTGATTGCAGCTTGACGTTTTTGAGAATAACATCTTCTTGCTTGATACATTCTCCAGTAACTCTGTATCTTCATACTTGCTTTCCTTTGGTTTACATACTGGCAGTGCACATCCCTTCCTAGTCTGTAAGCTCTGTAAGCATTTTGGATTTTAATAGCAGCTTCCTTCTTTCTTTGGTAAA